GGCGGGGTTAGGGGGGGCGGGGCCACATTAGTCCATCGATCCCCAATTGATACATCTGTAGTGTTTTAGCGGATCAGTACCGAGAACTAGAATAAAAATTAGTATAAAAACGAGTTAAACTCTTCTAATCTTTGTAATAAAAGATGAACGGGTGTTCTTGGGGGGAGGGGCGGGGGGTTAGTGTTGGTGCCTGCACCTCTCTGTACACAATTTAATATAAACCATAAGTAGAAATCTGACAGCAGGAGGGCGACTGCCGGGGAATTGTACGGATCACGTGAAATGGTTCGAGGGTTAGATGCCGGTGTGATCGGGGGTTGACGTCCTTGACAGGACCTGCGTGGAAAACAAAATGGCCACACGGATTGCGGGTTGCATGCGCGTCACATACTCTGCTGCTACTTAAAAGTGCGGCAATGCCGGGTGTCGGGTTCTGGTGCAGCTGCCGGAATAGAAGTGGAACACTTGCTCCATCCATGGCACGTGGAGGCTTTGTATGGGCCGTGGGTCAGGTGACCTGGTCTGCAGCATTCCAATAGGACATCGTCTTGTGGGTCAGGTGACCTGGTCTGCAGCATTCCAATAGGATGTTGTTCTGTGGGTCAGGTGACCTGGTCTGCAGCATTCTGATAGGACGTCCTTCTGTGGGTCAGGTGACCTTGTGTGCAGCATTCCAACAAGGACATCGTTCTGTGGGTTAGATGACCCTGTGTGCACCATTCTGATAGGACATTGTTCTGGGGGTCAGGTGACCCTGTGTACACTATTCTGATCCTGATGAAGGGGACCCTGCGTGGCCCCCGAAAGCACTTGTCATTTGAGTGACATGAATAAAAATGGATTTGCACTGATTTGGAAACTTTCATGCTGGTGACATCTTTATCCGAGTTCCACCATTCTGATAGGACGTCGTTCTGTGGGTCAGGTGACCCTGTGTGCAGCGTTCTGATAGGACGTCGTTCTGTGGGTCGGTAGAGCCTGTTGCAGAGTCTGCAAGGATTCCTTATTTTATCCGGCACCCCTCCGTGTAGTCAACATAGGGATCCGTCTTCCACGAACACTGTTCAAAAGAATGGAAAGATATCAAAGCCGAACTCCGGGCAGAGACAGAAATAAATGCGGCTCTGTGCTCATTAACACATCAATACATGTACATTGTAAAACTGGAGGAGTACTAGCATATGACTTCAGAACTGTGCAAATCTCAGGACTGGATGGACAGAAATACAAATCCTACGGCAGATCAATCAGCTCTTGTATATGTATTTTATACTCTACCTGCATTTAGTGGTTTGCCCTCACCCTGCCTGTGTCCACAGAGACAGCTGGGCCTGCGCTCCCGTGTCACAAACAAAAAGGTCCGGCCAGACTCCGATGACATCAGCACGCAGTAGTAAAACTTTACTGTTCCGGACAATAACAAAGAAGGCCTAGCCAGACCCTCCCGCACGACGTGTTCCTCTCTGTAAGGAGGGTCTATGCGGAACTTCTGTGTAATCGTCTGGAACAATAAAGTTTTACTTGAGATGACGCCGTCGTTGTCCGGTCGGTCTTTTTGCTGGCGGAATGTCCCCC